TGGAAATTGAGATATCGCTGCACAATCGTCGGCCTCCCTGGACCTCTACAGTCGACTCAAACCCGTGAATCTTGAAAGCCAGGACTTCCTAGAAAATTGTAAGGAGCAAAGCTTGAGCAAAGCCAGCAGAGATCACGAACTGTTCAAACGTGAAACTTAAAGGGCCGCATCGGAGTTTTCCGACTCCGAACTGGCCACATGCATCGAGATGCATCGCCACCACTGCCACCGACGTCCCTATAGCTTCCCTTGTTCCCGCCTGCCACCACGGCCATCGTAGATGGCTACAGTCTTCGTCCCGCTGGACCCTTCAGCGGGCATTCCTATCTCACCGTCCTTTCTACAAGTCTCTGCGAATCCTGCCCTCCAATTACAGAAAGCTATCAAGGCAATTTTGAAAGCAAAGCGGATTGTAGTCGTTTGCGGTCCGTTCACGCTTCAATTTGAGTCTAAACTCGTGTACAAATCGCCTATGCAGGAGCTGGAATTTCCGTGAAAGCAGGGATCCCAGATTTTAGGTCTCCAGAGGGCCTTTTTCAGACCTTGAAGCGCGATAATCCCAAGGAAGTTTTGGCTTCCGGGAAGGATTTATTCGATGCCTCAGTATTCCACGTGAGTTCCTGGAACCATGAGATCGAGACGGGCTGGCCCGTGGTTGGAGAGCTGGTTGCTTTTGTATTTGAAACGCGCCTGACTGTCCAGGCGGGTTCCAAGTCCATGGCCTCAAACCAGCGGGAGGGGCGACCGACCATGTCGACCTCGAAGACCCATCGGGAAAGACTGCTTGCGGGGTCCGGACCAGTGGCGAGAGGGAAAAAGCAGGCTGCTTCTCTTAGTCGCTTCCAACACCTCGCTCCTCAAAAAAAAAGGAAACGCGGCTGACTATCTTGTTTCACAGTCGGAGAACACCACATCTCTGTTTTACCAAATGATTGCTCGCCTCTCCGAGCTTTCCAATGCGGCTGAACCTACGGCATTTCACAATCTTCTACGCGCCCTCGACGACAGGGGAAAATTGCTCCGAGTATATTCCCAAAATATTGACAGCCTAGAACAAAAATGCGGCCTCTCTTTTGGTGTCCCCGAGTTTCAGGAGAGACGCTCAAAACCCCGTACCCCAAAATCCAAGTCCAAGGCAGCCGCCGCAACAGTAGAAGCCGAACCCGTGCCCGTGGAGCCTGTTGCGTCCACAAGCCGTCTCCCCACCCCGCCCCTCGAAACCCCTCGCTGCATACCGCTCCATGGCACCCTCCAGACGGTCCACTGTCAAACCTGCAACCATTCCTTCGCGCTCGCGGACCACTTCGTGGCGCTCGAGCTCGGCACGCCCCCCGCGTGCCCCGAGTGCACCGCGATGGAGGAGACTCGCCAGCTAGTCGGCAAGCGCGCGCGGGGCGTCGGGCGCCTTCGGCCCTCGGTCGTGCTGTACAACGAGGCACATAAGGACGGAGAGGGTGTTGGCGACGTTGTGCGCCGCGACCTGCTGGGGCTGTCCGGCGCGAAGGGTAAGGGGCGCAGTGCTGGGGCGGATCTGCTGCTCGTCGTGGGGACAAGCCTGCGCGTGCCGGGCACAAAGCGCATGGTGCGCGAGTTCGCCAAGGCGGTGCGCGTGGGGAAGGACGCGGGATCGAATCGACCCAGTCCATCGCTCGCGGCTGCTGCTGGGGCGCCGGAGGAGGAGCGGGAGCCGCCCTTCAAGACGGTGTATTTGAACCTGGACTTTCCTGTGCCGACGCGCGAGTGGGAGGGCGTGTTTGATGCGTGGTTGCAGGGCGACGCGCAGCTGTTCGCGGAGATGCTGCAGGCCGAGATCGACGAAGAGGCCCGCGTGAAGGAGGCGGCGAGCGAGAAGCGACGGCGGAAAGAGAAAGAGAAGGGCGAATACCTGGACAGACAGGGGAACAGTGTGGGTGGAAACGGGAGCGGGAAGAAGCGAAAGGCGGCCAAGGGGGCGGGGCCAGAATCGGCAGCCAAGCGGCGAAAGACCGTCAATGCCCACGTTTTACCAACCCCACCACACAGCAGACCAGCGCCGGCATCCTCGCAAGCCCCCCAGAAGAAGATCTTCTTGACTATCCCTGCACGCCGATATCGGAGGCTCATTCCGGAGGTTTATATAACCACCCGGCCCTCGCACTCCACCTGCCTGCTTCCCACGCCAGAGAGCACGCCCCCGCGCAAGACTGCGCGCTCGAAAGCGAGAGGAAAGAGGAAAATCGCACTGAAGAGTCTGACCGCCACCCCCGCTTCCACGCCTGCGCCTACGCCCGCTTCGGAGTCAGAGCTTACCGAGGAGGACGATGTCCTCCCCACTTTTCTCGAGGACGACGTGCCATCCCTGCAAGTCGTGCGGGAAGCTCAATACGGACTGCGGACCTCGCGCTCGAGCTCGCGTTCGCGCGCATAGCTTGGTTGGCCGTTGCTGGACTGCTGAATGTAAATTATTTATAAAGTGCCTATCTAGCATACATATCTTCTAAGTAGTACACGTCGTATATTCCTCAACACAGACTGATGAGATCGGGTTTCTTAGACAGTGCGAAATACAGCTAATTTTCTGAAGCCACTGCGAACAAAAGGACATGTGTTTGCGTGCAGGTCGTTACAATTATGTTCAGGAAAAATACAAACGAAAGTCCAATCGATCTAAACCTAATTCATACAATACGCAACATGCACCCGCCAGACCCTTCCATCCCGTGAATAAAGGTTTACCAGCCGCAACTCGGCCACAGAACGAACGACGATGGCTGCTGCCTTGAGGCCAGAAGGATTAAAGGGAAAGTCCTTGTGGTGGAGTCAGACCGATTCTTCGCACCGACCAGTTATTAGCGACATACCTTGAGAAACGAGTCAAATGCAGAGGCCACTGCGTACGCAAGATTGAAGCGCGAGATTCGCCGGTGAGAGCAGTTTCCCGAGATTGCCTGGACGAAGGTACTGTACCCCTTGGCCTGAGAAACAAAAACCAAGTCAAAAAGTGTGAAAAGAGGGGAAAGAGAAATACAAACTTCAAGCGTCAAAAAGATCTGCTCCACACCGTTATCTAAGACTGGTGTGTCCGGATCCTTCAAGCACGACCGGAAGTCGAGAATGTCTGCCATGGAGACACCAAAGGCACGTCCGGCGTAGGTGTCGGACGTTGGCTGAAACGGGATCATGGTGTGCCCGTGCGATGGCGGTAATGGGGTCGGGATCTGTTGCTTGGGCGCGTATGGGGACTCGGAGGGTGTTGGCCCTCTCGCAGTTACGGTGGCACGACGATCTTCGATTTGCGGTCCATGGCACAGTGCTGGCACGTTGATTCGCGCACGCGTGGTCGCGGCTTTTCCCGCTCATATAAGCGGGGAGAACCGGTAGCCATGGCCTGTCGTATCTAAGTCAACGAGAACAGGTAAGTAGAAAAATAAGCACAATTGGTGGTAATCGCTGATAAGGGAGAATTATATATCAAGTACACACAGGTTGAATCAAGAACTCACGCCTGTTTCCCTTGCCTCAGGTTGTGGTGGTCGAGGTTCCGACCAGCTTTGAGGTCTCTGATCCAGAACGGTTAGACAAAGAAATTCCCAGGGGAATGCTTACGGTGCGGAATGGAGCAGGTGAATGTGACGGCTGGGCGTAGCTACCTCGGCGAGCTTGATGCTGTTTCCGAAATGACAATCCAGCTACAGGGTCAAAGGGGCAAGGAACATACGCTCGACGATTCGCGTTCTTGTGCCTCTGCAAAGAGTAGACTCCCCTGATGGGAGCCATTATTGTCCTGATGGCGAACATGTACGAATCGGAGTAAATGCTTTAGTTATAAGCAAGCTTACGCTGGTCGAATAGTCGCCTCTCGCGTGCAGATTGGGAAATATGGATGGACTGCTCAGAACATCCTATAGCTGTTAAATCAGTGGTGCGTCGCAGCAGGAACAAAAACACGAACCAGAGACTGGGAAGATGCTGCAGAAGCTGAGGGGCGGCGGCCGACTTGCAAAGGAGGAGGAGGCGGCGAGGTGTGTGGATACCCCGAGGCGTGTGGATACCCCGAGGATGCTGATAGGGCGTTCTTATCCGGGCCAGGCTAGCATAAACGTTGAAAGACTAGAAGGGTCACAAGAGCAGCCAGCACGCACAAAACCCGGCCAGGCTGAAGGTCTGCGGACAGGGGGAGCCGATGGTTGAGCTAACTGCCGCTGGAGAACTTCCGCGAATAACACATTGATGGGGGGCAAGGCGGGGGAATCGTTGGTCTAGAAGAATGAGGGTGCGACCATAGAACCTATGATCAAAGACATACGGAAGGTCGGGAATGCGCCATAAGCCCACAACGAGTTCCGGAGAAAACAAAGAAGTCGCGGCTGGCGCAAAGCAAAGAAAGCTAGCCAACAGGGCGCGTGGCTACCACCTCAAAGATGGGGTTCCGCACACAAAGGTAGACGGTCCGAAGCGACACAAGATCATCATATGCGGGAATCTTGATTATGATGTCGGTTGCGAGAAGTTTGTATTTGAAGCTAACACCGGTGGAATTAAATATAACCGCGACTGATTCTCCAGGATTCCAGCGGAGAGTTCAACCAAGAGTTCAAGTTGAAGTCGGAGCTGAGGCAGAATCTGAATGCAACCACGACTCTGCAGGTTTGAGAAGACCACCGTGTTTGCGAACTTACGTCAAAGCCGCATTTTCAAACTCCGCTCTTCTCCCCATCATTTTGTACTTTACGCGTTTCTCGGGCGTATTTCTCTCATTAGCGTCTTCCAGCAAATGCCACGTAATTTGACACGCTTTTTAGTCGCGATGAGGCAAGGTCACCGAATGTGATCATCAGACCAATAGAACGCATTCTCGATTGCGGACAAATTGCGGATTTACTTGATGCGGTGAAATTTCTTCAAGAATCTTCTTTTGAGGAGAGGACACTGTAGGCAAGCAGGGAAGGACTGGAGAATTTTGGATTGGTCTTCTTTGGAATTCTTCGTGTATCCAGGAGTTTGGGGACGTCTTTCCACATGGCCGTGTGGCAAAATGGTTACTGCGTTGCTTTCCGACGATTCGTATCTGTTATCACGAGGCAGAGACTGTGGGTTCGAGTCCCACCATGGTCGCTTTTTGTGCCTTTTTAGCACCTTCGTTGCCCACGAATTGGACGGAAACAAGATACGAAGCCGCATCCGTTCATCCAAAGGTGATGGCAAATCAAAACTACTCTAACAAGTCGACCCCTTCGAAATCGAAAATTCCATCCCGTTAATTTCTTTGACCTCATCCAGGAGTATAGCCCCCTAAAATGAGAGGATTTGGCCAAGAATTGAAAGAGTTGATAGGTTTTTGGCGGGTTTGATGGAAAAATAACAAGCGAACACCAAAAAGCCATCTACTCTTTCAATCCGTGGAAAAACCCACTGGCTTTTTACTGAACATTGCCATGCCTATTTCCAATTGATTGACGGGATGGAATTTTTTATTTCGACGGGGTTAGGTTGTTAGCGAGGTAACATTCTGCCATCACTTCTTTATTTGGCCTTGTGTGGATATGGACAGTCGCCCCAAGGGCTGGAATTTGAGCCCCGAGGCTCATTCAAGGCCTCGGAACTTGGGCCTTACCCAGGCCTTAGGGTGGTCGTAGGGTTTGAATTATTTTGGCAGTAGGAGGAGGCGACTTATTGAGGTATTCTGTACCTCAGTGTCGTCATTCCATCCTCTTCATCATCCAGCGCATTGTCCCCGGCACGGGCTCCTTCATAGGACACATACACTTCTTCCGGTGCGTCGAGGCCTTGACTGCCAAGTTGGATTTCCAAGCTCCGATCTTAGCCTTAACCAAGGCCTTAGGACTTAGGGCGGACACTGGATGCAGCCTACTTACCTCAAGTATCCGAGTAGTCCTCTGCCAGCAGACAGGAATTTCATTTATTCACGCTCAATTATCCCGAAGAAATTTGACACATGTGAGTACAAATCTATGTTACAACTGGCACGAAAGAAAGACACTTCCACCAGAAAACGGAGCTTGAAGAGCCTGAGGTAACATTCAAAAAGTCGGCGTGTCGAATGTATCGTCGTGATCTGCAATTCGATGATCAGCAAATATAGAATGTAGAACGAAGAGGCAACCTTTGCCGTTGGCATATATGTAGTCCTTTTCTTTCGCCGACAGGTGTTTCATGAAGGACTCGTGTTCGTGCGCGCTCACCGCGACTTTCGGATTGGAGAGGGCGCCGCCGCGGATGGCAGCGGAGGCGACGTGGAAGCGCGAAGTGTGATTGCAGAGCATCATCTGGAAGATTCAGGTTAGCCAAACAAGCGGCGTCTACGAGACGGAGCGTACATCAAACGGCGAAGTCGTCGTGCCCTCCTCGCGATACCTACGTCTCAAGTTGACGGAAGTTCTGGAGAGGAAGAATTTACGCACCCCTCAATAGAAACTCTCTCGACCCCTTTGCGCCCGAACAACAACCCTTTGAGCTCAATGGCATAGCCGTGATAGTTGAAGTGGATCGGCTTGTCGGGCGTGAAGAGCGAGTTGAACGCCTCATCGCTGAGTGCGTGCGGGTGGGATCCGTTTGCACTGAGAATCATCAAGTCCGTGACGTTCACGACGCGCACGCGCAGGTCAGGGACGTGTTTGCGCAGGAGGGCCGCGGCGGCGACGACCTCGAATGTGACCTCGACGCCGATTCCGACCAAGACACTGGTAGATGAGTATTAGGAGGCAGAAGTACAACGAGGGCGTGACTCACACGTCGGGGTTGATGCCCTCGTCGACACTCGCGAATTTCCAGACGGAAGCGCCGGCGATGCAGTGCTATCACTGTGTTAGTCTTGACAGATGGTATGAAAAGGTAAGGATGTACCTTGTCCGCATCTTCGGGCGAGAGCCACACCGGTGTAGGCTGCTTACTACCCACCATAAGATTGACGTAGTGCTTCGCGCGCAAACAGTGCGCCATCGTGGACAGGAAGCAGTTAGCATCGGGCGGGAGGTACACTCGCGCCATAGTGGGCTTGAGATTGAGGACAGCCCCGATGAAGGCACTGAAGGGGGTTGATTGGAATTCAAAAGACGAGAGCGTAGCACGCACGGATTTTGATGCGAAAAGCCGTTGTGCTCTTGGCGCGCCCAGGTGGACGTCTCGAGGTAGTTGAGCGATCCACAAGGCTCACGCCACGGGATTTCGGCTGCCTAGAGAAAAAAGTCTTGATTTCTGTGAAAAACCTAACATAATGGGCGACCCACCATCTTGGTGAACTTGCTGTACTGCACCATCATCGTCTGCACGATTCCTATGTACGGGAATTAAACCCGCACATCAAAGCACAAGGATACGACGCACCAAGGAAGGCTTCGTAACTGGGGAACAGTCCGGTTCGGCCGGTGAGAGTATAGCCCTGAAGCATACCCTGGCATGTGTGCTCGCTGAGAATTTCGATGACGCGGCCACCTCGAGAGCGAGATTCGCAGTCCCACTGGAAATTACGACAGGATTCGTCGAGCACCGCGTCCAGCTTGTTGGACACAAGTTCGTCCGGAGAGAAGATTCGGAACTGGTGCGGGTTTCTGCGAGCCAGACATCAGCATAATTCCATCCAAGGATTCTCGAGGCGCACTCTTTGACAACGGCCTTGAGGAGGCGACCAACCGCTTTCATGCAGCTTTCCTGTGTGCCCTGCTCGGCACAGAACCCCTGCCACTCGGGTACCATCAGCGGGGTGTAGCCGCGGAAGCTCTCCTTCTTCTGCCCAAGACGGTATTCTGCCGCTTCGGGGATGATGCTGAGGACCTCGGGCACGGGAACGCCGTCGGAAGTGAACAGTTCTTCAGGGCGGTAGGACTTTAGCCACGCCTGCAGCGCCGCGAGCTCCTCGGCAGATTTCTTCGCGCCGGGCAGGGGCACTTGGTGGGAGTGGAACGAGCCCTCGATGAACTCGCCGTGGAAGGACTTGGGGCCGCCGAGTCCCTTGGGTGTGCGAAGGATGAGGACGGGCCAGCGGGGCTTGACGATGGCTTTACCGCTGCGCGCGGCGGTCTGGATTTTCTTGATCTCTGCAAGAGCCCAATCGAATGAGGCCGCAAGGTTGTTGTCGATGTTGTCGACGTCCTCGATGATGCGAACTTGGTACCCGTAGCCGCTGGGAGAATTAATGTGAGTTCGATGTGAAGAGATTAAGAAGGGACGCCGTACGTGAAGAGCGCGATAATTTCTTTGTCGTCCATGGTGCCATATATGGTGCGTTCGGAAATCTTGAAGCCATTGACGTGCACGATTGGCAGCACTGCGCCGGACTCCGCAGGGTCAATATATTTGAAGCCGTGCCATGCAGTAGCGGTCGGGCCGGTCTCAGCCTCACCGTCTCCCACCTAGCTATTTGTTAGCGTAGTCAGTGGTATTATTCGTTTCTTCGTACCACACAGGCTACACGAGGTCGGGATTATCCATCACGGCACCGAAAGACACTCCGAGCGCATACCCGAGCTCACCGCCCTCGTGGATAGCACCGGGCGTGCCCGCGTTGATATGGCTGGTTTAGTTCGCGTTGAATAAATCTACTACTGCACGAAAATCAAATGAATCTAACCTGGGAAAGCCACCTGGAACACTGAAGCTTGCGATGAGTTTCTCGAGGCCCTTGCGGTCTCGAGTCATTGCAGGATAGAATGCGGACAGCGAGTCTTCGAGCCATAAGGAGGACAAGATGGCGGGAGCGCCGTGGCCTGCAAACAGTTAGAAACATGATTTAAAGGTGATGAGCGGTCTAACCTGGTCCAACAACGTATAATGCATCGAGACCCGTCTTGCGGATGACTCGGTTAAGGTGTGCGTATATCTGCGACAAGTTTTAACCCTTGATCCAAAATAAATCGAAAAAAGGACCGACCATAACAAGACCCGGACATGTCCCCCAATGACCTAGGAGACGAGCCTTGATATCATCGGGAGTCAAGTCGCGCTCCACGAGCACGTTGTGGTTGAGAAATATCATAGCTGCAGCAATGTAATCCGCCGTCCTACGGAATATCTCCATGGCCTTGAGCTCATCGTCCGAGAGGTAATTCTTGGTGTCCAGCTGAACACCCAAGTGGAGGACAGAATCAGGCAAGAGAGATGCATCCGCCGGGGGATTAGCTTGTAGTAGAATCTGGCCGGGCATTGGAAGTATTCGTTGGGCATTCAGATTCCACCTCAGGTTATTTTATACCACTGCGCGTCATGGCGCGTCAAGAGAGCCCAACCAATGACGATTCAGATAAATTTGCACGTTCGATCGTGGTAGCAGGAGTCCAGAGCCGGAAACTTCCGGATGCTTCTTGTGTCTCTTCCCAATCTGTTCGAGATGAACCCGGCTCTAGTTCGTTCTAGCCCTCTAGGTCCTCTTATTAGTTCAACCCTTTTCATCTTTCTTCTACCAAATTACAGTGCAAAAATAATGGATGCTCATTGCCACCGGGCCCGAAAGATTTGGACGACAATTCTGTCGTCAGAAGTGACGCGACAAGAAACAAAATTAGCCCAGGCTGTATCTCCAGATGTGCAGGTTGCTCCAAAATCATCGCGCCTTTTAGAATCCTCGACGCGATCTTGTTTTCTCCAAAATGTCAACCAGAAATCTTGTGCTATCTGTGAATGCAGGGTCCTCGTCCCTCAAGATCTCCCTGTACGGTACCAAGCCAGACAGCGACGAGCCAGTCGACCTGATCCTCACGTCCTCGATTTCCAACGTCTCTGCTCCACCCGCGAAATTCTCCTTCAAGGTTTCAGGAGGGCCGAGCAAAGATGAAGAGCCACAGTCTGTCCATGACCACGCGTCGGCGTTCGAGCATTTCCTCGATTGTCTTGGCCGTGAAGCAGATATCGACCGCGCCCGAATCGCCCATGTCTGCCATCGCGTAGTTCACGGCGGGGATTATACCGACCCGGTCGTGATAAACGACGAGGCGTACAAGCACATTGAACGTCTCTCGGATCTCGCACCGCTGTACGCCGCCGTATCTAGTAATGCATTGATAATAATTCATGTGCCATCCAGCCACAACGGCGCGTCTCTCGCCGTCATCCAGACCTGTCTTTCTCAGCTCCCAAACGCAAAATCGATTGCCTTCTTCGAC